GGCAGTGGATTGCAACTATCAGTTTGAAGCTCAAAAAAGTGCATCCATCCATCCATCATTAAAGTGCTCCACGCGGCTCATAATAAAGGCCTTCTGAAGCAAAGCGATGAGTCTGTGTAAGAAAGATATCCATTTAACACGTTACTATGTAAATTTCTAGCTTCCGGCCAAACGAGCATACGCAGTCTACTTGCCTATAAATCGCAACTTACGCAACTTGTGATGTGGGAAGTAGCATAGTACGTCAAGGCGTAGCGTAAATATCAGCAGTACGTCGCATTACTCGCATAAGTTGCGCTTGGATTTAAGTCGAATCCATATGTTTGTTTAGCCGGAAGCTATTTAATTTACTTTATAAAGTTTTAAATATGAATATTTATCTTACATAAACATATCGTTTTGCTTCAGAAGGCCTTTGTCAACCCCCCAGAACCATGTGGAGCATTAATTTTTGATATGTTTTAGCTTACCTCGGTCTGCGCATGCGCCGGAAGCGATCTCTCGCGCGGTTGCATAAAAAATTCAACGTTGTCTGTTGATGTATCGAAATGTCTTCCATTGCGGTTTCCTGTATATCTAAATATGTTGAGATCTTCACAGTGAAAGGTAAAACTTCCGAAATCTCTGTGTAAACAATGAGTGACGTACACGCGCAAGCGATCACTTCCGCTGCTTTCCAGCGCATGCGCAGACCGAAGTGCCCGTGCCTTCAGATCAGTTTCACATGGCTGTGGTTACAAAAGGTAAAACGATATAAATACTGTTCGTTTTCTCACACAAACCGCTCGTTTCGTGTCTTAGGCCATCAATGTGTACTTACATTTACAAGTCATTAAATCATGTTTAATTCGGACTTCTCTGTGCATGCTCTTTGAGGTGGACCCCATAGGTCTCCATTATATGACTGACAGACAAGAACGGTTTGACCTAAAAATATCAAAATTGAAGATGCCCTAGAGGTAAGCTAAAATATATAAAAAATTTATTTCTAAGTGAACTATCCCTTTAAACTGATGGTTGCAATCCTCTGCACTGTAAAAAGTGATCAGTTGACTTAACTTAAAAAAAAATTGAGGAAACCCGTTGCCTTAAAAGTATTAAGTAAATAAACTTTGGGGGAAAAAAAGTAATATGGGATTGTCAAGTTCACATACATTTTTTTTATTAAGCATTAAGATTTTTTACTTATTTCATAATTTTAAGGCAACAGGTTTACTAAAAACGTTTAAGTAAGTGAATTGAACGTCAGGGTGTTCATTAATATAACTCCGTTTATATTGGTCTGAAAGAAGAAAGTCATGTACTGTACACCAAGGAGTGAATCATGGGGTCATTTTAATTTTAAAGTGAACTACTCCTTTAAGCCCCATATAAGCTATGAATATGTAATCTTACAGGCTAAAAGGACAATGAAAATTTCCATGGGATTCAAACTCCCATGAGCGAGGCTCTGCGGTGATGCTAATATTTCAAATCGAACTTCCTGCCTCTCCTTGAGTGCTGATATATTGTGAAATTTATGCACAAAAAAACAAAAAAGCAGGCGGCCTGAGACACTTTAACATAGCCGCATGGAGTCTGCAGCCTGAAAAAAAACCTCCTCACAGTGACTCCACAGTCTGCAAAACATGGGAAGGATTCTGGCTCGGTGCTTTTGCTCATCCTGTGTGTACAGTACCACGCTTACAGGAGAGCTAATAATAAGCTCGTGGGGCCTGCTCAGCACTGAGGAAAGTGCCTGCCAGTGGTTTCGGCTGCTTTGCTCTCAACACTGCCTGGTTTTGGCCGTCTGTCATATTCTGATGGAGTGCTGGGTTCGGCGTATTCAACTACCTTCTGGCTTGGGCAAGAACAGCTCACATGGCAAAACAAAAGGGTATAAATACCACCCAAACCTTCCTGCCACAGCGCCTGCATTCTGTGGAAAATAGCTGAAGGCACGAGAAACCCACGGCAAAACAAGGGTTCTCACGGTATATTAATGACTCTCCAGCGAACGTGGCGTGCTGCGGGAAAGCGGTCCCTCAGAGGGCAGCCAAGTTCATGAGGTTATGGAGTGTGTTTAAGCTTGTCTGGCTTTGCCCTAATTTTCAGAAGGGGATTGCAGGTGACCCGATCGTCATCCGCAGGAATGATCATCGCCAAAACACTGCGAATGTACACGAGTTACGCAGAAGTCACACAAAATCCATTGTGGTGCTTTTTGAGACCAAAGTAATAATTGTGGTTTCTGGTGGGATTGCAAGCTTTCAGTGCTGGAGGCTGGATGAATGGGGGAAGACAAGCACATGACATTGATCAATTCTCAAATTTCAAATTAGCATTTTCTCTAGATCTGTCTGAAATAACTGCTTTAAAACAGGTTTCTCTGGTGGGATTTGTAAGCGCTTGAGCATCAAAAGGCACATTCATTTACAAAGCTCGGTTCTTTTTTACATCGCTCTAGCTTGGCAATAACGAGAGGAATTTCAGTGTTTATAAGTTCAGAATAAACACTTGGTGACTCATTGATTTTCTTCAAGAATATCATGGTTGCTGATGTGAATAGTGGGTGTTTGGAAAGTCTGTTTTTGAAATGAAAATGAAATGATGTTTTATTTACAAAGTTCGGGAGGAGCACGTTCAGATAATTAACACGGGTGGAGAGCACTCAACAATCAGTGATAAGAGGTGTGATAAGAGGCTGTGTTCTTGTCTGTACTTGTGTCCTTGTGAAATGTCATCTTTCGTGGCCCAAGTACTGTCCCAATACACAAATTTGTATTGGGAACGGTTAAAAATCCCGAATGTGTTCTTGACACGCCCATTTTACAGAGGATGCATCGGTTGGTAACTTGAGTGAACTTGACGGCAGAAATAATATCCCAGCATTCAGTTTGGCAATCGAGGAAGGAGAGGCAGGTCATTCGTTTTTCTACAATATGCTATTTCATCACTAAATTCACTTGTGAGAAAATCTGATGCAAATCAATCGATCAGTGTAGATTTCAAATATTGGCATTTTTACAAAATATTATGGCGAATGGAAAATGTGCTCAAACGTTTTCGGAAGTGAGAATCTCCATAAGACTCAGACTCGTTTACCCCACAGTCAAGAGACCATTGCAGCCTGGTTGTTATCGTCGAAAAATTATCGTTATGTTTGGGTACTGCAGACGGTTTCTGTGCGGGGGTATTATTGTGCAATACCAGTAATAACACATGGTCTCAAACTGTCAGCAGCGTTCAGTGTGCTCGTCACCTTGCGAGTTCATTCTTCCAAGAACAACTAGCTAGAGCGTTCTCCCCAAGAACACAAGTCCGTTCTTTGCATTCTTGGTTTTGAGAAACCCATAGACTCAGCAGTCTCAACTCACCCCCTCACCCCTTCTCCACACTTCTTGTCCTAACTATATAGGGGGCGTACTCTGGGTTTGGGCCGAGCTCTGAGCCCTCCCCAGACAGCATGCCAAATACGCATTAAACTTTACCTCCTCTAATTATATGTAAGTGTGAAGTCGTGAATTTTCAGTATGATAGAATGTAATGTTCCTCTAACGTTTTCATGAATCAAGAAAAACGTTCCCAAAGTCCCCTAATTGTTATCACTTAAAACTCATCTCTAATCATCAAAAAGACATATTTAAACGTTTTTAGCTAAAATAGCTTGAATATAACTCTACACCCTAGCCTCATTTATTATACGTGGCTCTATGAATATGCAAATTAGCCCCACCTCCACTCACTCACTTAGCTCAGAGATCCACTCGTTGGCGACCACATGTTGACGTGATTGGTAACAAGGTAGTTTGTGATGTCAGAAACACCAGCGATTTCAAACGGCGTTTTTGAGACTGTGTTTGGTTCACTGCTGTTTAAAGAGAAAATACTCAGCAATGGTGTTGACTTATGAATTTGCACATGTTTTGTCTTTAAGCATATTAAAAACACCACATATAATAGACATAAACAACATTGAAAACTTAATTTTCCCCACAGGGGGACTTTAAAACATAAAAAATGGGATGTTTTAAACATTCAGAAAACATTCAGAAATTACATTTTCGTAACATTTTTTAAAAATTAGAATGGAATTTTCCATTTAAAAAAAATTACAATGGAAGGTTCCTTTAATGGTCACATAAACAAATAAGTGTTCTTGATACATTAAAAACTGGATGCTTTGAATGTTTAATAAACATTCAGAAATAACTTTCATAACTTGATGGGAACATATATTACCAATTAATAACAAGAAAGTTCCAAAAACTTTATTTTAAGAATGTTTTGTCCTAGCACAACTTTTAATCAATGTCAATTGGTATGACATGCAAAATTTTCTTTAGGTATAGTCAACCCACTAGGCATATTTCCCAAAAATGTTGTGTCAGCTCACTAGGGATGATGGCCAATACTGTCATCCGCAGCTTACTATGATGTCCTAAACTGGTGTTTACATAGGCAGTTCAATAGATGTGATGCCAAAAAGTTGTTGTCTATAGGCAGCTCACTATACAGTATATGATGCCCAAAATGGTTATCTTGGTATTGGCAGCGCTAGACACGATGCCCAAAGCTGCTGTCCTATCACTAGGCATGATATCCCAAAAATGTATAAATCTAGGTATAGGCACTGCTACACTTGTGTGGTCTCAGTATTACAACAGACAGGAGCCAACAATATTACATCACTCCAGGAAGTAATGGCAATTATATATATATATATATAAACACACACACACACACACACACACACACACAGAGCCATTACACAATGGGTTTAAAGTACAAGTGGTTTATTATTACTCACTTGTCATGTTAATCTAACTGCTTTTAAGAAGCTATCTGTTTTAATCTCATTATGGTTTGTAAGGTATAGGATTTTGTGGCGAGAAAGATAACCACAACTACATTGATTTATTCAAAACATTTATAAAGAGGAAGTAAGGGCAGCGTGACTAGTATCTCAAAGATAGTGCAGTCTTCATGTAGTAGGCTAAGATATAAAATGTGACAGCACTCAGTCAACCTGCTCTTGACTGAACTCACAAAAAAAAAAGTGAAGTGAAGTGAAGAAAAGAAAAAAAAGACGCATGAAAGCGAGATCATCTGTGTCTATTATCTGATTGGCTGTTTCAGAAGCAAACTGTATTGCCCACCCCCATGTTTATATGAATCGTTGATCATTTGTCGAGTCCTCCCACTGAGAGAGGATTTGTGCCGCGATCGAGCGCTCATGGCAGCTAATGATTATCGCGCTTACCTGCGGAATCATATCGACATGGAAGAGGCTCCGGCGCGCGCTCCTCAGACGGGCTCCACGCACAGAGCGCTCATATTCGGCACGCTCGCTGTCATGGGACTGCTGCAGGTCGCTTCGAGTGTGGCGATTTTGTTGCACTTAACCGGTTATCTCCGAGAGGTAAGAAAACACGTTTTCCCAACTTCTTAAAGTCTGTCAGTACAACAGTTTGACTGGACATTTTTAGTGCATGAATCATAAGGTTTGGCATGCGTTTCAGCAGTTTTAAGACCAGGTTCCGTTTAACCTGTTTTGAAGTCTGAATCAGTGTGTGTGTGTATGTGTGTGTGCGAAACGCGCCTCTGAACAAGCGCGTTTGAACATCAGAAGGAGCGCGCGCTCGCAGAAGCGTCTCGGGCCCACTCAGTGTTTTTTGTGCCAAGTGGGTTTTGAACGTAACTTTTAAAACCATTGCTTCTATGTTTTACATCCTGCACGATTGTTGGAAGTAAAAGTGTTTGACATAAGAAATAAAAAGAGTATGAATTTGGTTCGTCCAATTGAGTCCCACCTTTAACAAGGGTCCCCGAATTGTCATCACCTCTGTCCAGCATGTCTTTTGACATTTAAAAATAATTTTAAAAAAGTTATTATCAAAATGTTGTTTTCTATAAATCATTTTCAGTGATCCATGACGTTTTATTTGTTTATAAAAAAAAGAAAGAAAAAAAGAATAGCTGCCTATTTATTTGGGATTTAAATCTCTGTCGATACGAAACACTAGCCTGTTTAAGTGTTGTTTTTGTTTGTTTGTTTGTTTGTTTTTTCATTCGAGACGTTATTCCTACTAATATCATCTAAACTAATATCATCTAAAAAAATAATATAGTCTTGTTGATCATATTTTGAGAATATGTGCTTAATTTATAGCATCCTATTGATTCTCTCACCAAATTCACTCGCAAACGTTAATGTCGTTCAATTTGCTTGTTAGTAAATGTTTAAATAGTTTAATTTTGTATTCTAGGAGGTTTTGTTTTGGGGAAAACTATAGCAGTATAATCCAATTGCTGACGCAGGAAATTCAGTTTTTTTTTGGCAATGTTGATCTTCATGAATGTGTCACTGGTTTCCTTTTTTGTGCATTTTTCATAAATCTGGAGCCAGATATTGTTGAAAGTCTCCCACAAGTGATACAAAGACATGCAGTGCCAGTTCAAAAGCTGGACATGTCTGCACATAATTTTATAGCATTTATATAAAATCACACAAATGGGAATTATAGTGACCGAAACATGTAGAACAAATAAAAGGTTCTTCAGCTCTGCTTACCCTGGACAAACATTTACTCATCAAGAAGTCAGCACTTTGGACTGGTAGTGAAGTTGCTACAAAGCACTTTTCCCCCCTTTTTTTGTTCGCTATACATGTCAGGAATGCACTCTCCCCCTGACTTCATTTGCTCATCTGGTGGTTTATTTAAATGTTTGGCAGAGATGCAACGAATGGGATGCTGAGAAACAACTATCACATGTTGTCATGCCCAGATCTCTCTCCTGTAGTGTGAAAGCTGTGGAGGATATTATGACATCTTGTTTCATGAGGCTTTGGCACAAACACAGCGGTGTATGTCGGAAGCTTCTTGTGTGCTGGTGGAGGGCCAACGCAACAGATGCAAGGAAAGGAAAAAGTTGAATGTCAGTTGTGTTTGGCGCATGGTTCATGTTGTCCTCAGAAATGGATGCAGGGCGACTGAACCAAATCATATAATGAAATGCTTGTCATTCATTTTATAGTCCATGAATTTCAAATGCAGTTCAGTTTATCAAAGGAGAGGAATAACATCACACACTGCATTACAAACTGTTGTTACTTGCAGTCAAGCACAATTTCGGATTTTGTTTTGTCAAGAATTTTGCAGTGTATCATATTACTTCCTGATTGAGCACCAGCACCCTTTATAGTTCAACTAAGATGCATTCTTTACGCTAGTTTTACTGTATCACCTGTTGATCATAGTGCATGATTTGTGAGAATGGTCTATTTCACAGGAATGTGAATAATGTCTATGATGGTAGAAAAACATGTATGTGCTTGAGGATACTCGAGGAAGAAAATACTTTGTGTGTTCTTCCTTCTTCAAACTGAAAATAAGGTTTCACATTTTCTGCACTTATTTTGAGGGAAGATCTGTGTTGTTCTGGGCAATAGAATTTACTTGTGTAAAATGTGTGATCTGAGAGTCTTAAAGTTAGGTTGGGCACTTGCGGAAAGGCTAGCAATAGCAAGCTAGCTTTGAAAGCATGACATCCCAGCCATCCTCCCTTTAGAGCACTTTTACTTGATGAAACCACACCCTCTTCAAAGCACATAACATTACAATAAAAAAGGGGTCAGAAAAATGCAATAAGCGAAAGCACCACCAGTAGATTTTTTTATAAATGGCAGATGTTCCAATTTTGCAGCAGTCTGGAACTTTTTGCAGTATTCGGCGGGTGCAGGAACTATGTAACCCTGCTACTTATCCAGATCAGGCTGACGATTCCCAGCCGAAAAGCTTTCAAAAACCCTCCCCATAACCATTCACTGCCAAAAAAAGTGATCAAGTTCTATTGTCTTGAAAACTTAAGTTTATAAGTACCATTTACCTCTTTAAAACTTAGCAATGACAAAATAGAATTATAAAACAGAACCAATTCTCCTGCTAGGAGAACAATGCAACAGGGAAACGGATCCAGAAAAGAAAATTAGCAGATGACAAATATGTCGCTTCCTGAACAGGTAGAAACTTTACAAAAATGTCAAATGGCTGCCAAGAAATGAAGACTTCGCACACACCTTAAAAGCTGAAAATGTGTCATTCGTGTTCAGAAAATTAACAACAATAATAATGCGTGTAACTTTGTGATGCGCTTAAACTTCAAACAGAACTAGTGTGTCTTTCTTGAAGTACACATTGAAGAACATAACTCAGAACACATTCAAAACTGATTAATTATTGATTCAAACCTCTTTCAGCAGCTGTCGGGGACGAGGATAGAAGGATAGAAGTCATCCCATATTTGATTTCAAATCAAGTCATTCAACTCTCCTCTAGAGTTACTTAAAGGTCTATTTATTAAGGGGCTTCGTGTCATCTCACATCACAGGTGTAATCCATGTTTTGAGAGTTGGGTCACCCTCCCATGCTGTAGATACAACGTAATGTATATACCACTTTGCATCATTGACATCAACATAGCCTTTATCACTGTATAGAATATTATGAAATATGTTGTGACCTTATTCAGTCATATCATCTCACAGAAGGATGCTCAACGTTATTAAATGTTGTCTTTTGTTGGACAGGAGGTTTGGAAAGTCATGTTTGGAAAGATGTTTGACGCATGTTGCTTTTTCAAATCACGTTATAAGCGACTCAAACTCGCATTGCTTTCAGATGAAGCAGCGTTACAATAGTGCACAATACAAAATACAATATAGCATACATGAATTACCAGTAGCAGATCTATACAGGTGGAGCTGGGGAAGGTGGAGGGTTTCTGAAAGCATGCTACAACTGCTACAGAAAATGCTGACCGACTATCTGCTGTGCCATATGTATAGAGAATGATTTGACTGCATACAGATTGAGTTAAGGACCATCAACCATCTAGAGTTTCATGACAGTATTTGTATTAGTTTGTACTTTGTATTAGTTCACACTTAATTGGATAAAGTATATCTTTAAACACTTTTGTGCTTCGGGAATGTCAAGCACAAACAATGTCTGTATATGAAGATAATGCTGCTTTCCTGTATGTTCATTCAAATCATGTGGTGTGAAGTACCTGTTAGTTAATAGCAATCCAGCTGGATGCAGTTGTGTAACTGAACTGTGTTTGTTTGTTTGTTTTTTACAGGTTGACCTTGCCTCAGCCCAGCAGAGTCCTAATGAGGTGAGCTAATAAACTTCAAAAAGATGAGTCTGTTTTTTTTCAAGTTTGTGTGCTTTGGCTCAGACTCAGAAACCGCAGTTTGCACCAACATTCTTTTCCTCATTTAACACTACACAGTTTGGGTTTTTGGAATCAGTTTGGGTTTTGGTTTTGGGTTTTTGAAAGGAGTCCAATGATTACACCTTATATCTCTCTATGTCCCTTAGTCTTTAGACCTTTTTATAAGCTTTTGTCAGGTTTTGAATGTATAGTGGCTGTTCAATGATATTTGACAACAACAACAACAACAACAAGTTTATATAGCACAATTCACTCCATCAAAGTACTTCAATGTGCTTTACAAAAAGTAAAAACATCATGAAAAAATACCAGATACAAAACATGCACAAAAAAGATAATAAAGATTTAATAAAAAAATAAATAGACAAATTTAAAACTACACAGTATAGCTAATTTTAAGATCTCAGTCATAAGCTTGTGAGAAAAGAAAAGTTTTCAACTTAGATTTAAAAATCAATACATTCGGGGCACATCTAATATCTTCTGGTAGTTTGTTCCAGTCGTGTACAGCAGAGATGCTAAACGCAGCTTCTCCATATTTTGTTCTAGCTCTGTGCTCCACTAGCTGACCTGAGTGTATTGATCTAAGAGTCCTGTTAGGTTTATATTTTTCAAACATTTCGGAAATGTACTCAGGGCCTAAACAATTCAGTGCTTTATAGACTAAAAGCATCACTTTAAAGACTATTCTATAGTTAATTGGGAGCCAATGCAAAGTTTTAAGAACTGGAGTGATGTGCTCTATTCTCTTGGTCCCAGTTAATAATCTAGCGGCAGCGTTCTGAACAAGCTGCAGCTGTTTTACAGTCTTCTTCGGAAGTCCGGTTAATAAGCCATTAGTTGACACTCATCATTTTTCTGGGGGGTGATGGTCTACTAAACGCATCGGCACCACGGGTTGAGAGTTAAGGGTTAGAGACTCAGGCTTGTAATCTGAAGGTAGCAGGTTTGATTCTCAATGCCAACAGGAAACTATTGAAATGCCATTGAGCATGGCACGCAACCCCCCAATTTCTCCCCGGGCACAGTAGTGAATGGCTGCCCACTGCTCCGGTGGTGTGTGCACTTACTTGGCCCTCAAGCATCACCATCCTTATTTAACGTTTTTAAATGGTCTACAGCAACAGAGCGGTCAACACAAGATGTCGCCTTTAGCTTCGGATAGCCATTCTAAAATTATTTTAGAGCTCCTTGGATTCAACCTACTTTATTTTCCTAATTTGTTTGAAATAAAATGACATTGCATGTTAATAAACTGTACATAAAGTGCTACTTATACAATTATTGTATTTAAATATTATAAATGATTAAGTAAGCTAAGCATCAAGCATTCGTCATGAAGAGAGATTCTGACAATTCAATACAAATCAGGCTTTATGACATCAATTACTGCTGTGTTTGCTCAGAAACTGAAGTTATTTCTGTATTGTACTTGTCATATTTTTAGAATAGTACAGCAAAACTAAAGCACTTCAAGTGAGCTATTTTTATTGAGCTGTCAACATTGGATACTCAGACAGCATGCCTTCAGTTGACAAATACCCCATGCATACATAAAACTATATGTTATAAAAATTATATAAGTAAAATTATAGTATTTACAAGTTTTATTTGTTGCAACTGTATCTGAATATTGTTTTCTTTATGTAGTCTACACTATTTATCAATCAGTAATCAGAATCCAATCCCCCAGACTCAACTCCCCTAAAAATTGTGCATGCAATTGTACACTTTGTCCAACTAAAAACTGCTTAAAGGGATAGCTTACTTTGAAATGAATTTTTGGTATGTTTTAGCTTACCTCAAGGGCATCCAGGATGTAGGTGTCTTTGTTTCCGCATTAGTTTCAATTTAGATATTTTTAGTTCAAACCGTTCTTGTCTGTCAGTCATATAATGCAGGTATATGGGGTCCACCTCAAAGAGCATGCACAGAGAAGTCCAAATTAAACATGATTAAAAATTCGTAATTGTAAGTACACATTAATGGCCTAAGACAAAAAACAAGCGGTTTGTGTGAGAAAACGAACAGTATTTATATCGTTTTTACCTCTTGTAAATGCCCTCAGATCACTTGGACATGGCTGTGGTTACAAGAGGTAAAAACTATATAAATACTGTTCGTTTCTCACACAAACCGCTCGTTTCGTGTCTTAGGCCATCAATGCGTCCTTACATTTATCATGTTTAATTTGGACTTCTCTGTGCAGGCTCTTTGAGGTGGGAACCATAGACCTCCATTATATGACTGATAGACATGAACAGTTTGTCCTAAAAATATCAAAATTGAAAGTACTGCGGAAACAAAGACACCTACAGTACATCTTGGATGGCCTCGAGGTAAGCTAAAACATGCCAAAAATGTATTTGAAAGTGAACTATCCCTTTAAGGGTTTTTTTATTTAGCATTTACGTGCTTAAAGCATGGCATTTCCTCCTATTAGCACAAAGACATTCCAAAACTATGTCCTGAATTAGTGTTTATTGGACTTATACAATGTGCTTCTTGCATTAATAGTAGGCTACCAATAGTAACAACAATGTTCCATTTTTGAAATGCATTGGTATTTTCACAAAATTTGTTTGTTTAAAGACAAGGATCAACACACCGGAAAATACCATAGTTGCTGTAAAACATTTTCTAAACCATGATGGTGTAGTCATTTGTGAAAAGGTCAAGCCAAAGTCCCTGGAACTTGTCTTTGTCTGGAACTCAGTTTGGATATTTAAACATCTCTTGTGGCGTTTTTTTTCTGATGGCTTGCTTTGCCAAGTCATGAGAATTGTACTAGTTTTATCATTACCCTGGGATAACTTATTAAGTGTTTATGTGTTATATCTTGGCTTTTTTAATGCTGCTCAAATGCAATTTAGTTTGAGTGCGTGTTTGTACTGGCCTACTTTGTTTGCGGTGTACCAAAGTTCTTAAGAAGGTCAGAGCATCGAACAAAAACCAGAACTCTGCACTTGAATACCTAATTATGATAGTTTGTCATTTGATGATAGTCTAGGACTAAAAATCTAATATTATAGCATTTAGATATTTAGTTCATATTTCATAACGATAGCTTGCACTTAGGCCTTAATCTACTACCACTTAAACAAATCTCTTTGTAGTATGAAACTTTAAAATGATGACATATTCCTATACCGACAAATCAGACCAGATTTTACACAGTTGAAGTTATTCAAGTCTATTCAGATGTTCAGTGTTTTTTTTTTTTTTTTTTTTTTTTTGGAGAAATTGCTTGAGGCATAGAGAACAATAGTCATACCTGAGCAGTGAAACTGCAGAGGGGAAACTTCATGATTGCCTGTTATGTTGATAGTGTTTTTGCATCCTGGTCTCCTGCATATGCACTTTCTTTTTTATTTGATTTGATTTTATTGGCATTACATATCATGCACGGCGCTAATACGGTATATGAAGTCTTGTTTTTTTTTTCTGTTAAAATTGTTTCATCTACAACATATCTTCTTATCCCTGCAGTAAATGTCACATTAGGGAAATTTCAAAAGCATATCAGTTATGTTGTAATGAATGAAACACAACTCACACAGGAGTGAGATTTTAACCAAGGTTAGCTTTCTGTTGGTCAACTTGGTGAATTTGTTTGACCGACGGAACCTAATCCAAAATCTACGTAGGGGAAATCTTTCACCCTCATGCGAAACTCCTGATCAAGTGGATTACTTGAAAATAACTCAAATAACTTGAAATAACTGGATTTCATGCATGAAAATGGATTGAAGAATAAAAAAAATGTGGGTTACTTCACTTTATAGGGTCAGTTCACCCAAAAAAATTCATTCTGGCATTAATTACTCACCCTCATGTTGTTCTAAACCCATAAGACTTTCGTTAATCTTCGGAAATGAAGATCTTTTTAATGAAATCTAAGATTTTCTGTCCTTCCATTGACAGCCTGTGCGACTACCACTTTCAAGCCCCAGAAAGGAAGAAGACATCATAAAAGTAATCCATGTGTCTCCAGTGGTTGAACCTAAATTTGTAAGAAGCGACACGAGTACTTTTTTGACTTTTTTTTGCCATAATTTGCCATAAATTGCTAGAGTGCCTTCTGTGTGAACACAAACACGTCCCAGGATCGATGCCGGGATGGGGACCTAGTAACATTGCTGGGATCAGTCCCGGAACCCACCCTGTGTGAACAAAAGGCAGGACCAATGCCGCAAGGAGTGTGTCGTAGTGATGACGCTGAAGCTTAGAGGAACGGTAGACAATATGCTAGTTTATGATCGAATCAGAAAAAAAATGCGAGAGAAATAGCAGATCACAAGCAAACTTAAGACACTGTGGAGGCATTACACATCACAATCTGATATCAAGTGTCTTCACGGGATCTTTACAGGATGTGTGTGAACGCATGCACAGATTCCATAAAATCACTGGCAGTGTGAATGAACCCAAATCAAACGATCCCTGGACAAATCTCAGGACACGTTATCCGTGTATTTTCCGGTGTTGTGCCTAATTTCGACCCCCTGCCAAATTATTACCCCCCGCGTTGAAGTCAGTACCTGTTTGCCTAATTCAACCGGGGCCCTAATCCTAACCCCTCCCCCACAACTAATCCTAAAAAGAGATCGCGCCTCTGCCGACCCCAAAATTTGACCATTTTTAGGCCCATGCAAACAGTGTTTATCTCAACCAGCCCAATCCTACAACAATGACTTTATGAGTGGAACTATCTGTTTGCTCAACAAGTTCTGGAAACCTTTCATAACTTTTGCCATTTTATTTAGTAGTGCTTGTGACAGAAATTATTTTTGGGAAACTTTTGTAAAAAAAGCGCGTTCTGGTCATGAGATCCAGTTCAAGAATGTAGCAATGTAACCATTATTCTAAATTCTGCTGGTTGTGTGAAAAATGTGACTATGAGGACACATGTGGTCACAACAGAGTGTCATATTTCTTCTTTGAATGAACAAGAATAATATGATCTGGTCAAAAAATAAAGGGTTAAAAAGGGAATAAAGCACAGTAGAGGGTTATTATACCTTTATACCTTCCAGCAAGCCTGGTTTCTATTTCTGCTGTATTGTGCTAGGTACTGTAGATACTGTATAGCCAATGGGAAATATCATTGGTCCAGAATTCTGCTCCTCATAACTCATTAAATATCTACAATAAGCTACGAGGAGCACATTAAATATCTGCAATAAACATCAAATGTCCAATTCTTGATTCCCGTTCACACCAAGAACAATAATTATAACGCTAGCAACAGTATGTGTCCACATCAACGGACAATATCATTCTCTTTATTTTAAGCAGGTGCTGCAGTTTTAAATGCTCAAGCTCTTTAATGTTGGGTGGATTCTGATTGGCTGTCAATGTGTTTTTCGTTCATCAGCTGGGAAAAAAACAACAACATTCCGATAGTGATTCCAACGTGGACTGCTTTTATATTTAGAACGATTTTTGTAACTATATCTTTATCACACTATAGTTATCCTGCTTGCTGTGAATGGGCTATATGTTTGGTTTCTTATTGGAGTCTGCATGATTATAAGAAACTGCACTGTGAGTGATGGATTCAGTGAGTCATTAATGAGTTTGTTTGTTTGTTTTTTCTCAGGAAATGCACAGTGAAACATTAATAGGCATTCCGAAAACTTATAAGGAGAAGAAGGAAAGATGTCGACCGAAAAAGGACACACGCATGCCTTCAGCTCACCTTCCTATAAAGACACCCACACACTTTTCACCCAGTAAGCATAAGCTGTTTATTTCAGAATCACATGACATGGTTGTCGGAAATGTTTCCAAAAAAAATGTTAAAAAAGAATATATTGATAACCTTTATTGGCAACCTATAACCTAGATTGGTATACCTAACCTATATTAAGTGACCTTGACATAATATATATCCATATTCATTTCCTAAATGTTTATTCTGACCATGTTACTGGTGCTTTTGCAGAAGATCGAAATGATTTAACCATGATCCTCTGGGACGATTTTCATGGGGACTGTTTGAAGATAAAATACCGTGATGGGCGAATTTTAGTGGATGAACCTGGCTATTACTACGTCTATGCCAAGACCTGCTTTCGATATACAGAGGTACACGCCTCGGACAAAGTGGACGTCAGCAACGTACAGCTGTTTCAATACATTTGCCATGAGAAGCACACGCAATCTTCAAGCAAGCCCATTGTCCTTGCAAAAAGTGGCAGCACGCTGCAGTGGAACATTGCGGAGTACAACATGTACTGTGTGGAGCAGGGCAGAGGTGTCCAGTTGAGTAAGGCCGATGGTATTTTTGTCAACGTATCCAATGCATATCTGCTGGACCCTGCAGCTGAAGGGACATATTTTGGTACTTTTAAGATAAGCGATTGACTTGCATAGTTTTTGCTACTGAACATGTGCACATTTTGCAACCTTGCAAACTTTTTTCAAAGTGATTATGAACCACTGAGCACTTGTTTTTGATCACTGACTTTTGACTTTTTTTAAGAGCACATAAAGATTTCTCAATTGTACCAATACTGGCAATGCTGGTACCCTCCAGTACCTACGACCATGCATCGAATCGCCGCGGTGGAGTGACGCGGTCCCAGTAAAGTACGCCAAATCACAGTAGTCCGCCGCGACCTCCACAACAGAGGAACACAGAGGAATCATACGAACCAAGCGTTCAAATTAAGTTCGAAATTAAATACGAACTTCTTGTTCACATTATATCACATTTTGCGGCTTTGCCCGTTGTGACATATTGTTATCAGCGAGTATTCAAAAAAGGAACGGCCTTAAGACGACATATCAGTGCATCGACAGTTTAAGAAATTTTACATGACCATTTTCATCATCACATTGATTGATTGTAAAAACCAAACAGTCCAAATACCATGAAATGTTTCTAACACAATCGTGTTAAAATGATTATACTATGGGAAGGTTTCTCTCAGATCAACCATGAAACCATGATCGATTGAGGAAACCTCGATGTCAAGGGAATTTGAATTGTGACAAACTGATGGATAAGTACTTCCTGTCTCATCAAGAATACGTACTGATGCTTTACTGATCGATGAATTTCACTGTTGGATGTTTGGAGCTTCCTTTCAGATGATATTTTAAAATTTCTTGAACAGACCGTATACAAACATTCAACAAAAATCAAGGCAGCTGGACTGTCTTTGAGAAGCGATGTGCAGAACCAAACTGAGTTTGGTACGCTCTAATTTAATTTTGTTTTTAATGCACTAAGTGTATTTATTTATTTTCAATAATGATAGAATGTTCTGTCTGTTGTACAGTTTTGTACAGTGTGTATAATTTCCTTCATTCCATTCTTCAAGAGATTTTGGACAAAGGGCATTGACTTTTCGGTCTGTTATACATGCGCTTTTGTCCCAGGCACAGGGCTCCTGTTTAAAGCTTAAATGGATTGGTTTCTCACCAAGAAACTTTGTATTTAAGTATAACTAATTTGACAATTCTGTGTGCAAATGTTTATGGACAGCAGATTATATTGTTCCAAACCCAAAGCAAACCTAAAAATGTTTGCAAACTTAAAGTCTAAGTTTTTTTTTTTTTTTTTTCATAATATGTTAGCAAAAGTTCTGTTTTATTATGTTTATTTATACTATTCTGCCTAATAAAGATACTTTTCTAAATAAAATACTAATTTGTTCATGAAAATGCTTCATTTGATAATGTGATCAAATCAAAAGTGTCATGCCTTCAGGCATTCATAGTTTACATATGCGTTACGTCTATTTTCATATTGCCTCGGGAATGAAAAAGTACATGCAGTTCCCAGCGTTAACTGGCTCCTCTCTGGATGTGACAGCTAAAGTAAATGTTTGGTCTTTCCTTTCTTTGTGGTATTGTCAAGCAAACGGGTGAATTACACTCGCTGTGGGGTGGGAACATGGTCATCCTTAAAATAATATCCACCCGTTAGTGGCGGTCGCTTTGGCCTCTAATGGCTGCAGATATTTGCAGCATAATTTAGCTTGGACTTAGTTGTTGAGAGAAGTAGGAGAACCAAAACAAAACACTGTCCCATTGTGTATTTCTCAAGTCTAACTCAAGTTAGCAGATTCATTTTAGAGCCAACCATTTAAAGCACTGTGGTCTGTGAAAATCCAAGTGGGATGGAAATGACCACATATGAGGTTTGAGCTCAATTTTGCAATTGCAATTATAGATAACCAAATTTGTCCGTATCATTACTTTCAAAAAAGGTGTCCATGCTACAGTGTCATCATATATTTTAATTCTGAGTAATAATAATTAACTTACTGTATAATACGTTAGGATTAGATTTGGTTGAGGGTTAGTTGCATGTAATTATGCATAATTTATAGTTGTAACTACATGAAACGAGTAATGAGACCAAGTGAGACCAAACATTTTATAAAATATAATAAAAAGTAGCATAACCATGAAATAAAATAACAAAATATCTTTGTACTTTATATTTTAATCAATTCATTTTCTTCATATTGTAGTTTTTATTTTTAAAACAAAATAGTTTTACTGCTATAAAAAAAATTAACCAAACTATTTAAGCCAACATTTTTTCAAAATTTAGCTTTTTAAAATTCGTATTTTGTTCCTAATTTTACTACAGACCCTATTTTATTTTTGAATGGTAACACGCCAAACTTTGCTCTGTCTGTAAAAGTTTAATTTCTCAATCGTTTTTTTGGCACACTTTGGGTACCATAAAAATGTCAGGATGATTGCCAACTGCACATACTGCTTTATGTCTCCTATATAACATGAAGGCCCTGCTTCTCTGGACTTGGGTTCTGTTCTGTTTTGTTTTTGTCCTTTCTTTTTCTTTCTTTTTAGACTTTATTGTTTGCATGTGTAAAAATAAAGGTTTCAGGTTACTGGTTTTCAAAGCCAAAATCGTAGCATTGCAGCTGAACTGATTGTTTAAAGTTTTTTGTTTCGAGACAGTCGAACAGTCTATCCATTATCTTCTCTTGCAGCCATATATGTGAACGCCGGTCCATTTACAGCTCAGTCTATACGGCACATACTTCACCATAACACATTTCTGTGGCCATCAGATGTTAGCAACCCAGTGTGAAAGGTAATGGTCTTGATGTGTAATGAAACGTTTTGTGACCAAATTGTGCTTTAGTAAGCATATATCACAGGCATTGATATATATTATTAGATTAGCTAACTCCAAGTGCCTCTTTTAATGGGGTTTTGTGGTGAGAGGGAAATAGTTTAAAGGTTAGATTTATGGAGCAGCTGGGAGCTTTGTTATGCACATTAAAGTTGCTTAGCAATTTGCACGCTCACGCATTCTTCCTTTGCTGACTAAGCTTCACCAGTTGTTTTTACTGGTCTACACAGTCCTCTGACAAGACCGATTGAATGCTAACATCTTTAACATGGTACCAATACACAGCTGTGCTAATGTTACACTATTCGGAGAACTACATGCTATGTGATTGTTAGTCTTTGACATCATTACCAAAATGAAAATACTAAATCAACTACAACCTACCGCACCAATAAATAACATAAATAAGCTATTCTAATATATTGGTAACACTTTAGGTTTCATTAGTTATACTTAAGTTAACAAATAATGACTCGCACTTTTACAGCATTTATTAATCTTTTTTAATGTTAATTTCAACATTTAGGCTACTTATATATTATTGAAATCAAAAGTTATATTTGTTAGCATTAGTTAATGCACTCTGAAGTAAACCGAACAAACATTGAACAGCTGTATTTGTATTAACTAACTTTAATGAAGATTACCAAATGTGTTGCTCATCATCAGAATCATGTTAATACATTGACTTAATACATTGACTAATGTTAACTAATGAACCTTATTGTAAATTGTTACCAATATATCTTTCAAATAAGCAGACACACACACACACACACACGCACACACACACACACACACACACACACAAATGCCCCCTGCTGATGTCCGCTTGTGTTTCCACAGGCTTCAGGACCTTGGACAGCACAATTCCAATCAATGTCCAAATTTATCAGACAAGACAGTGGCCACTGCAGATGACCCAGTCACATGTGTTCAGGGTGAACTGTGCATGCTAAGTACCACCTTCAATCAAAGCCGAACATACTGTACAAGGACCACCTAGTCACAATGTGTAAGTCATGATGAAACAGTAGTAGGGAGGGACAGATCCATTCAACTGTATTGTGACGTACAATCTGTGTGTAACGGATAATTGAAAAATAAAAAATGTAGGACGGTCTCCTGCAAATATAGGAGGCAGATCTAAATGCAAGCTTGCAGTCATTGTAATAAAGGGGTGGGTTTAAGCAGACTAAATGAAGTCTGGCGCATGTCAATAAAGAGAAGTCTGTCATTTTACTTGAAGATCCTGTTATGATATTTTGATCAAAACATAAAAAAATCCACATATATTTGCACAATATGATCAATACCATGGATTTAGAAAATAGATCGGGTGGATTTTAATTTTAATGCTGATTTTTATATGGTATGAGTGTTTTATATAGTATGGCAAATTTTGTACAGTTGATTTTCCACTCCAGAGCCACTGCTATTTCAGTGCATTACTTGTTTGTTTTATTTTTGTTATTTAAAGGGGAAAGAATAAAAACACTTATGGAGGCAAACATGTCATCCATATATTACTTTTAGAAAGACGGAGCTGTTATGACCTCTGTTATCAGATGAAAAAACACAATTTGAGCACCAAACAGGAAGGGTTGAGGTTGAGGCAGGGAATACCCTGCTGACTCATATGAGGTGATCGCAACTCTTTGTTACATATCTTTAAAAAAAAACCTTCTGGAGTTTTAACCGATTAAAATCTGTGTCAAAAATGTTCAGTCTAACAAGCCACTTCTCTAGATTTCATGTAAGCTTAAATCATTTTTTTACTTTATAGATTTGCTGAAATTTTTAATTTACTGTGAACATTTAAACCACAGAGTCATGCAGGAAGGAGTTGTCAGTTAGCATTTCCATTATTTTCAATGGCAGCTGCTCGGCTGCAGCATGCATTTTTGGAAGCATTTGACCTGGGTAGTCATTACTTTTTCCTTTAATAGCTAAACAAACACCTTGGTAAATTCATGAATGTGTGTGTATATATATATATATATATATATATATATATATATATATATATGGTTTTCTGTGGAAAATTATGTCCATACTGTATGTTAACCGTAATTAAATTAATGTAAATATGACGATTTAAACAGCTCAAATTCTACACATTTGAACAGAAAGTCCTCCAAAACGTTGTACCTCGCCATAATCTTGTTTTCTGCTTATTCTTTTTTTAAGAGACCAAGGGATGAGTCAAAATTATATTATGAGGTTATCAAAAATCATGTCACAAATGCTGTCACCTAAAGTTAATTTGCATTAAAACCAGCGATTTATATTTATATATTGCTTGCAAATTTAATGTCATTAGGAAAAATAAAATCCACTTTCAATGGCCAAAAGATATTACAGTGTATGTTCTTTTTGGATTAGTTCTAGTTCCTGCACCTATTTCATTTGTTCCCATAGTCTCTAGCCCAGTTGGTGGCGATAATACACCTTTGCCAATTGTAAGCAAACCACTTGTGTAGTGCAGCCTATGATACCGCAACTGCATAAGACTAAAGGGGGGGGGGGGGGGCATCTGTCTAAAAAACAATCTTAACCATTCTATTTCATCAAAAACAATCTTAAAACATGGCTTTAATTGTAAAATAACGAACTCAATGACCACACAATGGATATCATTGACCTCGCCTCCGCTGGCTCTCTTCAGTCACCTCATCTTCTCCTCTGTTAACTCTACTCTGCAACACAGATCTACCTCAGGCCTTCAGTCTCCAGCTCCGCTTGGGCACACTGATCCCCAGTCTCTGTCTCATCTGTCACATGTGACATGACCTTGGCCTGTCGACCAGTCACCCCACCTACACTCCCTCGGCTCCATGTGGGACATTCGTCCTTATGGCTCCACCGGGCTTCCTCGTCCGGCTCCCCTTAGTCAGTCGTCACTCTCCTGGATCCACCACTGTCTGTTGTTCTCACTACTTTAAGTAACGATAAATGATGAAGCCAGATTTGTTTTGCAAACTTTAATGTTAAGTCAGTCATTCACATCAGCCGTTCACCAGTACTTGGTTAACGTATACGCTGTCATTGATCACAGTTAAGGATATAGTTCCCATGTGTGTACTGCAATGAATTAGAAATACACAGATCGGTTAGTTGATGGACACACACTATGCTGATGGCGAGGAATTACAGTTGCAACATCTCATAATGTACCTCAAACTGAGTAGCGTATCACTAAACATCCTGCTCAAGTCGTCCTTCTGGTTTGGGTTGAATAACTAGTTCTAATGTTTCATCATCAGACTCGCGCTTGGATTGGTATGGGAAAATCGATGCCATTGTTAATGTCTTTACAGTGTGTACAATCACTGAGCTTTAGGAAGCCTCTGGAACTGAAATTCTGTTATGGTAATGACTCCAAAACACTCCTGTTAACATGTGCATGTATCAAAAAGAAATGTTAGAACTTCCATTTTTTTTGCCTTTGTAGCCCACATAAACTGTAGGCTTACAGGGCTGAAGTAATTGCTGTGATTCCCCATTCCCCTAGATGGCGCTGCTTCATGTTGTCTG